TACCTTTTACTTATTGTGTTTCCTTTGTTGTCCTCAGGGCACAAGCTTTTTGTAGCAGGAACTCCTTTGCATGTTAGGCCACACACCCCTAATGTAGCCAAACCTAATGAGTTTCTGCTGTTGGGTGTGGCCTATTATGCTAATGAGTTCCTGCTGGGTGTGGCCAACTCAGGAGCCAGCCGGAACTCTGTTCCTGTGTGTTCCTGCCCAAAAATAGCCCTGCTTCTATGACTGGGCAAACCCTGCTATATTAACCAAATATCTCAGTACTGCTGCAGTACCCTTTTTTAAAATGTCCATGGCCATTCATGTACTGAAGGCTACATCTGCAACCCAGCTATTGTATGGTGTTCTTATCTGGGTTGGTGCACATGGGATGCGGAATCCTCATGTGGTTCGCCAGCAAACAAAGTGACTTCCTAATGTGTAGGTGGACCCTGAGGAGCAGTGTCTCCTTCCTTGTGCCACAAACCAAGAATTTTCTATGTACTACAGGAAATATCTACTCTGCTCTTGACCACACACAGTTTTACAATTATTTTTTTATCCAGGTTGTAAAATCGTAACACACACACAAAAGAGAAAAATAAAAACAAAGCAATGGCCAGGACTGTGCCCCAGGTTCAAATGGGGCAGAGAAATGCAGATATGTACATAGGCCTGGGGAGCCAGGATCAATGCATTCCGGGGTTAACAGGTTGGCGGGAGAATCATATAACTGCAGTTCACCTAAGAGCACGCTCCTGACCTTTGCTTTATTTATATTTTTCTCTACTTCTTTTTTTGGCTACGATTTTACAACCTTGAGATGGATAAAAATAATTGGAAAATGCAAATGTCTCCTGCCCTCCAGTGATATTCTGGTGGGTCTACAAGAGTAAATAAACCCTACTCATTCCCCAGTTCTTAGACTTTTCTGATCTCTCCCTGTTCCTGCCCTATACGTAGCTGTATCATGTGAGTCTACAAGATTCTGACTATCAAACTCAACAAACATGGTCATCTTCCTATCGCTTCCTCTCCAGGATATGACTGCTTGAAGTAATTCTTTCTGCTCTACATCTGGATGTGCCCTGAACTCTCTCCCCTGCCCTTGGTCTTTAGTGGTTTAGAATGAAGTTCCAATAAGGTGAAAGAACGAAATGCACTTTATCGTGCTTCCTTCCCATCTAGATCTCGATCCGAGAACTAGAGCTTTCTTCAACTGTAGTTTTGTACTATAGTCATTGCTTAAGAGGGGTAAAAGGAGACAGGGGTTGTTGCAGTGGAGATGCTATCTAGCCAGGTAGGAGGGGCCAGGTGACTGGTTCTCTCCTTTTATAGGAGGTCCAAGAGATGGGTGGTAACTGTGCCAACCTCTTGACCCACCTACCTGTTAGTCCGTCCCAAAAACAATCCTATTGGTTGCATGTGGGAAGGGGAGGTTACCTAAGAGGGGTGGCCAATATTGTAACCTAAAACCTTACTCAGAGTATGGCATCTGGACAGGTGTGAAATCTAGGCATCAGGATGCTCCATTGTCGTGCTGATGAAGCTGGCCAATTGCTTTGATAACCAAATGTCCATATGGCAAGAAATTCCATCTCAGGAACAAAGCAGGTGATGGGTAGTACTTAACTACAAGCAGCTCTGTCATGGGGGCTGTCTCTTCCTAGAGTTGTTGTTTCTCATTGCTCACAATAATGGAGGTTTGTGCTTCTTCACCAGGCTGGGCAACTGTGCAGCTGAAACCTTATTTTCATGTAAGGTATGTGCAGGCACCCTCTATGTGTGGCATCACAACAGGTGACCTAAAGTGTACAGCTTTCTGAGCCTATGTGTGTGTGCACAGTCCATTGTGTGTAGCAATAAATAGTCCATAAAGCAAATATCAGGCTTATTCTCTAACAGACTGGTGGGAGATTTTGAAAGGTGGGAGGCCTACCATATTCAGAATTCCTCATGTTTCTATGACATTTCCAGCAAAAAGGGAAAGTGATGCCAACATGCTGTGGTGGCGCTCTAGTATTTACATGAAACTTGATAGTAAACTTTACAGTTCATGCCCATCCCAAGTTTCTGTCCCTTTTGGATATGACCTGGCAGCAGCGTGCGTGGTAGTAAGCCATTGTCCTACTTCCTCCAGACTCATTTCCCTAACCAAGAGCTCGATTGTCTGTGCTAGGATATTGTTGGCTCCAGATTTCAGCCCCCTTCCTGTCTGCCAGCTGTAAGTCTGAAGAGGAGCAGAGTGTAGTCACAATAACTGAAACCCATGAGTGAATTCCTGACTGGAATTATACAGCTATAACCATATACGTATAATAGTTTAAAATCAGGGGAAAATGAAAGAGTAATGGCCTTTATTTCAAATTAACCTCACCATTTGATAAGGTTCCACATAATATTCTTGTTGAAAAGTTGGTAAAATGTAGTTTGGATCATATTACCTTTAGGTAGATCTGTCAGTGGTTGATGGATCACACCCAAAGAGTACCTGTTAATGGTTCCTCATCCTCATGGAGAGGAATGACAAGTGGAGTGCCTCAAGGATCTGTCCTGGGACCTGTTTTGTTCAACATCTTTATAAATGATTTGGATGAAGGGATTGTCATGACCCCAGGTCCTCTCCAGAACCTCAGGTTGGGTTACAAGGAACAAAACACAAAACCAGTAGTCTGCCACCACATTACTTGTGGGTTCCCACCCAGCCAGGAGCAAAGTAACGGAAGTCTCCAGGCTTAATACAGGAACACCATTCACAGAACAAGCTCTGTAGCCTCCACCACAGAGTTTGAGCAAAAAGACAAAATTGGTAGTAGGAAGAACAGCAGTCTTTAAGGCACGAGGATTTAGGCTTTGAAACTCTTAAGGCTAAGTAACCCAGACAAAGGTAAAAATATAAATTTCTTTATTTAAATAAAATTGTGCAAAGTTATATAAAACACGAGACTTAAGGTAGTGAGGAAGCAAAACAACAAACTCTAAGCTTTTCCAGCATAGCTAATACTTACAAGCATGTACAAGCAGTTTTACCCGTAATAGGTTCAAAGGTGCAACAAAGTCCAAAGACACAAAGTACAAGTCCACACAGCATCTTCCCTTAGGAGGATAATTCCAAGCATCATGGCATTATGGCGGGTTGCTTGAAGTATTGACCAGGCTTGGCCAAAATACTCCAAGAGCCCACTGGCATAGTTACCAAGAACATAGGTTCTTATAGGAAAAAGGGGTCACGAGTGGCTCAGGCCTGTTAGCCATTCACAACCCTGCAACAGTGAT